GGAAAATTAAATTTCACTCAATGTCACCTGCTCTGGCCCCTGGAAGACACTTGACTATGGTTGCTAGCCAGTTGCCATGCTGCTAGCGATTCGGCTATGAACTAAGCTAAGCTAGCAAAACCCTAAAGACAGTGGGTGAATACTGTGAAAATAATTACCAGGTAAATCAACATAGAGTGTGCTTTGGATGAAGCACATGAAGATGACACCATAAAATAAGAAGTTCTTGAAAAGTTTTTAATTAAATTGGCTACACAGGGAAGCTACGCAAGAACACCACTGTGGGTTGTAACAGGAAGTTATACTCTAACACAGAAAGAGTGAACACCAAGTGCCTGACAATCAACAGTGACTCAGACACAGTTTCAGTTTTAGGTTCTGCTTTAGCTGGTACAATGACCTGTAACCTCTAAAGGTTGGTAGAAACAAGAAAGAAACTGTGTGTTTTTAAAAGCACAGCAGGCATCCATCTCAGTTACTATAAAAAACATTCACGTGAACCAGTCGAATGTGAAAGAAGAAGAAATTTCAATGGCATTAAACTTTGTCCAGAAGATGCAAATTATGCTGCCTTTCTAGACTATGGAGAAAAGCGTTAGGTGCAAAAAATGAAATCTTTTTTGGCGCACTCTTCACGTGTACTATAGGTGGATGCTTCCTGTCATTCTGCATTTGGAATATATGTACACTGTGCTAACTGTGTTGAACTTTCAGAACATGCAAATGCTCCCTGAGCAGCACCTTTGTGCTGTGCTTTGCTTATGGCAGCAGGAAATTGTTTTTGTGTGGTGGAAGCAGTAGAAAACAATGGACTTCAATATTTAAGACAAAAAAACAAAAAAAGAAGAAGAAAGAAATGGGAAAAGAGTAGAAAGAAATGCAAGCACTGTTCATCTCATAGTTATATTTATACTTGTTCAATTATATTTTTTCGACAGTGGTTCCTATTACAGCTTTCTTATCGCATTCTATTAAATGCAGAAATAGGGATTTTTTTTACTGTTGTAAATACTGTTCCTAAAAATACATTTTTTTAAGAAATTATTATTAGTAGTAGTACTAGTATAGTTATCAGTAATAATAGTAATATATATAATAATAATAATAATATATTTTCCATATGGGTCTGTTTACAAACTAATAAGGTGTGCTGATGATATACTGGATATTTCAAATACTTTTTGTTGGTCCAAAAGTCAGCATAATGAAATGTGCTACATGAATAAACTTTTCATAGCTAGTGCACTGCAGATGAAGGTGCAGGCGGCACTAAAGCAAAATTGAAACTGCTGGCTAAGGATAAACATTATCTATGGCTTTAGAGATAAATGGAAAACTAAGTGGGAAAATTGAACAGTAAACCTAATCTGTATGACTAGTAAGACTGCACTAATTCCCTGATCCAATGTTGTGACTGACAAACAACTACCAACATAATATCAATCAGCTCCTCACTGTCTGACCCTGGACCACCTTACTGGGAAAACAAGTAAAAGTCATTTTAGCAGTGAGTCCACACCACACTACATACTGTCACTTCTCTTCTTTTTTAAAGAAGAAGAAACAAATCAGAGAATTTTGACTCGTGATATAAATAACATTTCCTACAGATGACACCGATGCATCACAAATCACATAAGTGTTAATATTTATTTAGACAGCATCTCTGCCATTGATCTCTCTGAGATAACTTCAACAACCATCAACAACCATCAAACCTCATTTATTGACATTACTGACAACACAAAAGATTTAATGAACAGTGAGACACCAATGATTCAGAGAATTATGATAACAAAAAACCCCACAAACAGTCAAATCACAACAACTTTCATTCTTATTAATAATTATAACGGGTTCTTGCACATTAATACACACAAACACACACAAAAACAGCACCAAGTTTCCTTTGGTCACATATGAAATGTGAGTCAGAGCTTCAGCTACACAACAACAACACACACAGCAGCTGATTGTAACATGAGCTCATCTGAAAGCCACCAAGAAGAATCCAGAGATTTGAAAGTTGCTGCTTTGGATTGTTAGTTTGATCTGAATCAGAATCCAGTGTTTGATGGAAATCTCCTCCTG